CTATGCTGCATTCGGTCTTAAATTAGCAGCATAACTTCTTTTACTCGATACAGCGAACTTCGGCTGTTTGACTGAACCTGATCCCTTTTGATCCATTATCTGGGACGCAAATGCGATGGCAAATTTTCATACGACGAGGATCATGTACAAAACCGCAATGTCAGGAAATGATCAGGTTAACTTTAAAGCCTAAGGCACAATGGTACGAAAGATGAGTAGCGTCGTTAGCTGAAGTAAAAATTTCACTATGTTTACAGTAATAAAATTACTTCGCATTGAAATTTACCGTCGCTTTTCAGTTATATACAATGAGTCGAGAGGAGTGCGGTTCAGTCGGTTGAAGAACTGCATTTGCGTTCCGTTGTGTCGTAATGGAATATGGAAATATGCTATATCATTTTATATTCGAAATCTCATTAATCACCTGTATTTCGTTCTTCTCGACCTGTGTAAGAAACGCAAACATAACGGTAGACTTTAATCCGATGGGTTCGAGCAGTGGCATTCAGATGCATGTTGACAAAGTTGTCTAAGATGTATGCTTGAAACTAAGGAGAGGCTGAGTTTGATTCCTCTCGAAGGCAATTTTTGTCTTATACACGAATTCCCTTTAACTCATAGTTCTTCAGACTGGGTTTATTTGGTCGGTAGAGCGACGACTTGAAACCGAGAGATCCTGAGTTCGACCCCTGATAAAGATCACTCGTTCTCTTCCTTCAGATCTGCGTAAAGGAAACAGGAGAGTACAAGTAACGGTTGCCACGTGGTTGTAGACTCTTCCTTTAAATCATAAGGCACTCCGTCCGACGGCATCGAGACAGTGATCAACACCGCACCATCAACTTCATGAAAAGTAACGGCGGAAAAGTATCCCATTCACGAAAATGAAGCAAGACCGACACTCGAACACTGACAAACTATTGGTTTTTCCTTTTTTATTCAGAAGCAACTTTTGTGCAAATTTTTTGCAATACACACAGATTAATAAGTACTACCAGTACCAAGTCAGTGATGGGGCTTTCTGTGTATTTTATTCTTGAGTCGCTTGGTGCTACCTCATGCAATTGGTGATTTGCATAGATCTTCACGAAATCGGTCGACGATTTCATCGCACGATTGCGTTCGAGCAAAAATAATTGAAAATCATTTTTTCTTTGAAAAAGCCCCATGGCAGGCGGACCCAGAGAAAGAGAAAAAGACTGTAACTAACCAACCTTCATGCTTCACCAGCGGAGTTGACAAGTACCGTTTTCGGCTTGCAGCAGTCGCCTCAGAAGATCAAGGCGTTCTTTCGCTTATGAAATCCGTAGCTGAAGGAATATCAGGTTCAGTAACACTCTCAAAACCGGGTGCCATTTGCTGAGCCCTCTTCTCGCAGCTAATCGATGTTTATATATGTCATTAGGAAGGAGTGCTTTATTGTTGTTATTAATATATTAATATCTGTAGCACAGTGACCACTGTTGCGTGTTCTACCTCGTAGGTCAGTAAA